CCATTTAGCAACTTTAAGAAAATATTTTTAAAACGATTCCATTAATTAAAACTGCAAGAAATGTGCTCAGAGCTTAGTCATTATTAGTGCTACATAAAGAGCTCAGTTTTCATAGGAATATCACAGCATTTCAAGCAACATAGGAATTGAGTTTCTTTTGAAAGTGATCAAACATTGATATTGATTTTTATTCTGTTCCCAGAATAAGAGTATGAATTTGGTTTGGGAGCTTAATTATGTTAAAAAATAATTGGCATAGTTAAGAAATACTTATCAAAAACAGTGAAGCAAATTCAGTGTCCAACAAACGCTGCTTTCCCTCTTCAGCCAAGTTTTGCTAATCTCTGGCTTGCTTCAGTGAGCCTGAGCAAGGCTATCCTGGAGCTTCTTGGGTATGTCTCATTTTTGCTTCTCAGCTGTCACTCTTCAAGTCTTTCTTCCCTATCTTGACCCATTCTTTGTACCCCTCAGGGTATCCTGATATTAATAAACATATTCTTTCTGAGTTTATTCACATCGGGATGGCCCGAGAATCTTGAAGCCTAAGGCTGCACCTGTGTAGAGGCCCTCTGCTGGCCTCCCGTGGCTAGTTTGTGTACTACATTGGCGTAGACTGGAGAAGTGACTTGGAATTCCAGACGCTGTTCTACTAGAATCATGTGGGCTTGAAGACTAAAAAAAATCTTCGAACACTCAACATGAAGGGAATATAGCAAATAATCACCAAGAGATTCATTCAGTCAACTGATTTTATTAGAGTGTACCATGTTTTAGTCACTGTTCTAGGTATTTGGAATATTTTGCCCTCCTTCCTATCAAGACAATGGCTCAACATGGTGTGTCAGAGATGTGATGTGGTAAGGATGGTATCCAGGTGTGGAGGGAGGGAGCAGCCCCGGAGGGTTTCAGAGCCAGAGTGGGGGAGACATTACATGATGTGGCAGTGTTGAGAGATTGGTTACATACAGGCAAACCCATCAAATACATAAATGTACTAAGGATACATTTTATTTTATTTATTTATTTATTTATTTATTTTATTTTTTATTTTTTGTCTTTTTTTCGTGTCCGGCAACGGATCACAACCCTCAGTGTCGCGCCCGCACCGGACCAGGACCGGCAACGGAATCACAACCCTCAGTGCCGCACCCGCACCTCGCTCAGCCAGTGAGCAGGAACCAGCCTGTATGTGGGATCCGAACCCTCGGCGGGAGCGCTGCCGCGCTCCCAAGCGGCGCACTGCAGCAGTGCGCCACCGGGCCGGCCCCCTAAGGATACATTTTAAAGATACTAAGTATAATAGATGCCAGGTTTCTTACTGTAACAGAAGGGACTTAAAACATGAAAAAGGATAAAACTAGGACTTAGAGAAAATTATATGAAGTGAAATAAGCCAGGCATAGGAAGAGAAATACTGCATGTTCTCACTTATTTGTGGGAGCCAATAAAAATAAATAAGTAAATAAACAAATGGGGGGGTGGAGGGAAGAAGATACAACAATCACAACTCCTTGAGTTTGTTAAGACGTGAATAGATATGATGTTGATGGGGGGAAGGGAGGAGACGGAGGGAGGAAAAGGAGGAATTGATAAAGGAACACAAAAATCAACTATGTTAACTTATCAATATACAATAAAAAAAAAAGAAAAGACATACATTGACTGATTGGATTAAAAAGATATTCCCAACAATATGCTGTCTTGAAGAGACTCACTAAAAAAAAAAAAAAAAAAAAAAAAAAAAAAAAAAAAAAAAG